GAGGCAGGTGGATGCACAGGCGGGCCTCCACTGGGTGATGGTACCAGTAGTCCAGTCCACGGTGGGGTTATGTTGGACTAGCCAGGAGTGACCCAAAACCAGTGGCGTGTCTGGAACCATAAAAATGTTGAAGGTGATGTCCTCATGGTGGTTGCCAGCGATGGTGAGACAGAGTGGTGGAGTACGATGAGTGATGTAGGTCAGCAGCCGGCAGTCGATAGCCCGGGTCTCTATGGTGTGGGGCAGAGATTCCGTGTTAGGCCTAGTTGCTCCACCAAGGCTGGGTCGATGAGGTTGCCCCCGGCCCCAGAGTCAAGAAGTGCCTGGTAGGAGGACATCTGACCAGCGGTTTTCAGGAGCACGGGAAGACGGCAACTACGGCCCGGCAGTGTCCCCCCTTTCACTGGCGGGCCCGCTTTTTTGGCCGCACCGGGCAGGTAGCTATAAGATGGTCTGGAGCCCCACAGTAAAGGCACGCCCTGGTGCGGATACGGCGGGCCCGCTCTTTGGAGTGAAGACGGGCACGTCCCAAGTCCATGGGTTCCTCTGGGTTGCAACGGGTGCTGGTATTGGAGACCCCCAGCCGAGGAAGAGCCCGGGCCTCGACTGCTGGTTCTGCTGTGGCACGGGGCCGGGGGGCCGACTGCTGCCCGGCTCTCTCCTTGCGGAAAGAGCCCTGATGACGATCGATCCGGATGGCCAAGTCGACTAGGGAGCTAAGGTCAGGGGGCTCGTCCTTCATGTTCAGTTCAGCCTTGATGTTCTCGTTGAGGCCGTGCCAGAAGGCTGCACGTAATGGGCGGTCCTCCCAGCCGGCCTCCATAGCAAGGACCCGGAAGTCAATGGAATAATCCAAGACTCGTCGAGCCCCCTGGCGAATAGTCAGAAGCTCCCTTGACACATGACTCTGCTGAGATGATGGAGAAAAAACCGTCCTCAAGTCATCCAGGAATTCAGTGATGGTGGTGCCGATGAGTAAGCCACTGGAGTCCGTAGCCTTGGCCCAAGAAAGCGCTTTACCTCTGAGTCAATTGATTACATAGCTGATTTTTTCTCTATCTGTGCGATATGTCCGTGGTTGGTGCTCGAACACCTTGCGGCACTGCAGCAAAATCCTCAGCATTTATCCACAGTACCATCAAAAATGTCCGGTTCAGGTATGGGAGGATCAGGACAGGGACTGGTCGAATGGGTGGCAGGGTGACTTTGTTGGGACAGCATGAAGGTGGTAAGTTGTGCTACTTGTTGTGCAAGCGTAGCTAGATCGTATTGTTGCTGCTGCAGGGCCTGGGCCAGTTGTGCATT